TGTTAGGGGTGGAGAGACTGATCACAGAAATAACCGCATATATCTGGGACTTCAAACTGTGTGTAAATGGAGTTGCTCTTATGGTGGGAAAAATTCCAAAGCAGGTGAATGATTCTAGTAACTACCAAACATCTCTCTAAAAGCACCTTCCAGGCAAACAGCAGGACTCGGTATTCTGCGATCTGGCTTTCTATAAATGTAACGATGAGTATTCTCACCGGAACTGCTACCTTGCTGTTTCCAGCCCAGTGTTTGCATCAGAAACTTCTCTAGCAGTGCCTGGCTCCTGTTTTAAAAATAAACTCCGTTCAGCAGAAACAGTTTTATTGCCTCTGTCAGCAGAAGGGAGGCACAAAATAAACAATCAAATTTCTGAGTCTCAAGGTTTCAGCCAGTTTCCCATGGTGTGAAGAGAAGGGTTCAAGATATGGGAAGACAACCTAACATTTAAAGCCACAGGTGTCTTTATTTATTACTTACTTATTTTTAGTGTAAACAGGAGCACCTATGCTGTGATGAAATACAGGGCCTGAGCCGCCAGGCACCTAATAAGCACTTGGTGTTGGCCCAGGTCTGTGTGGCAATCCTTCAGAACTTCCCCATGGACTTCCAGGGGAGCAGAGTTAGGCTAACGTAAATGCTTTTGAAAACCCCACCCTACGTGGAGCAGTAAGCATTGCAATCGGAAGTGTTTGTGCTTTTGTGCCCTTAGCTCTGGCCATTCTGAGACTAACCTTCATAAATCCAGTGCGGCTCTTCAAAAACCCGAACACACACACCCCGCCTCCATTAGCCAAAGCTGTCACTCAGAGCCTGCCCACCTCGTCATCTTCTGGTGCTGAATTGCTGGCCATGAGCTTTTGGGCTCAGTTCAAGTTTGAAAAGTTCTTCTAGGATCATTAGTGCTTTAGCATTATTAGCCTCCCCTGATACTGTCCTGGGCTGACTTCAGCTCTCATTGAAGTTTACCTCTATGGTTGCTTGTGCTGTTGTAGAAATCTTGATCAGAAGAAACAGTCTTTTTTTCAAATACTCCCCCTGCTCCGAATCCCTGAGAGCGGTCAGCCACAGTCCAGCTGATGATCTCTGGTGGTGCCCAACATGGAACCTTCCTCTCTTTCTCCTCCTCGAATAACAGCAAAAAGTTGAGCCAATATTTTGGGAGATTTTGTGGGCTCCTCTCTTTCAAGCTGC